TATTAAATCTCAAGCCAGCAGAATTCTAAAATGACATAAGAAAGTTCTGATGCAAAATTTGTTACCAAAGTGAATTTCCAGTGTTCCTATAACAGCATTTATTCAATACACTCCAAAAGACTGGTAATATAGTCTCTCTAATGAGATTTGATCTTTGAATCCTTGGATTTTCTTAAATAACATTTCCAAAAGTTGCAGAGTAACTTTTTAAGAAAAGCCACTCTAAAGTGATGATCCAACTGGCCCTGGGTGACTTCCAACCTAAAGACATCTAAAATGGATCAACCCATTCCAGAATTCAGTGACTCAAAATTTCAATCTATTAGTTTTGTCAGTCTTTGGCTCCAAAGATTAGGGTCATTGTAAGTAGACTCAAAGGTGAAAAACAACCCTTTATATTACCTCTGAAGTCAACTAAATACCATTGGAGTCATAGTGGCTGTGGTAGATGTACTCACCTACTCACTATTCTTCCTTCCCTCCTCACTTTTACCATGACTCCCTGATCTCATTGACTTTGGGTTTTGACATGTGACTTACTTTGACCAATGGAATGTGAACAGAAGAGTAGAAGTTCTGAACTGAGGCTTTAAGAGGTTCTGACTTTTTCCACTCACCCTCCAGTATCCTGCTATCACCCAGGAGAACATACCCCGAGCACCCCTGGCTCCTTCAGCATAGGTCTCATAATGAAATACATGAAGTGGACTGAACCAAAACCATAGTCTAGAGTGACTACAGTTAATCTATTGACTCATGTGTAAGAAATGATTGGAATGCAAGCAAATGAAATCTTAGAGTGGTTTATTTATTGCTGTAGTAAAAGTTAATACAGTGGACAACAGTAAGAGGGCTCAACATATTATTTTCTGGTACCTCTCTGTTCCAAATTAAAAATTTCCAGGTCCAGTCTCCAAAATAGTATGCTAAAGCAAACTGGTTCTCATTTCTGATGCACCAGGCATTGGTCAAATATGTCTGAGAGCTTGATATCTTCTCGTCTGAAAATGTATCCATCATTCACGATTAATAACTTTGAACCTCTCCTACTAAAGTAAAAGTACATTGAAGATGGAATCCGTACCTGATTTGCCATCCCCCTATAGGACCTAAAACAGTGTTTCACACTTTCTAGCCATTTGATAAATGACTTCCTATTCCAACTCAAAGTTACCACTGCTTTTCATGATTATCCATATCCCAAAATGACTTCCTGAGTCACAAAGTGCTTCATATATTTGAAATGACAGAAATGACTAGATATGATCTTTCCACCTGAATATACAGGTATTCTAAGGCACTACACAATGAATGATGCTAAAGACTAGTAACCTACACCAACATGAATTCCTTTGAAATGGCATAGATTCCTTCAATGAATAGTGAGATATAGAATAGGTGGCTATATGAAATATCTAATAGTGCCACACATAAAGCATGGTGCTGCCATGGAGGCATGTCAGCATTCAAGGGAGGTTTCACAAAGGGACATATCAATGCCTTCAGGGGAGCACATTTCTGTCTTGCTCTCTTTCAACATCAGCACACAACCAGAGAACTCCCTTCCTTCACAACAAATCAACCAACTGCCAAATACCAGATATAATCCTCAGGTCTCAGAGTCAGTAAAAGCAGGTGTGTTCCCATGGCCAACAAGCACATGAAAAAATACTCCACATCACTTGCCATCAGGGAAATACAAATCAAAATCACAATGAGATACCACCTCACAGCAGTGAGAATGGCTAAAATTAACAAGATAGGAAACAACAAATGTTGGACAGGATGTGGAGAAAGGGGAAACCCTCTTGCACTGTTGGTGGGAATGCAAACTGGTGCAGCCACTCTGGAAAACAGTGTAGAGGTTCCTCACAAGTTAAAAATAGAGCTACTCTATGACCCAGCAATTGCCCTAGTGGGGATTTACCCCAAAGATACAGATGTAGTGAAACACCAAGACACCTGCACCCCAATGTTCTTAGTAGCAATATCCACAATAACCAAACTGTGGAAGGAGCCACAATGTCCCTCAACAGATGAACGGATAAAGAAGATGTGGTATATACTCAATGGAACACTACTCAGTCATCAGAAAAGGTGAATACCCACCATTTGCTTTAACATGGATAGAACTGGAGGGTATTATGCTGAGTGAAGTAAGTCAATCGGAGAAGGACAATAATCATATAGTTTCACTCAAATGTGGAATATAAGAAATAGTGAAAGGGATTATAAGAGAAAGGAGGGAAACTGAGTGGGGAAAAAATTAAAGAGGGAGACTAACCATAAGAGCCTCTTGACTCTGGGAAACAAACAAAGGGTTGCAGAAGGGGAAGCATCTGGGGGGATGGGGCAACTGGGTGACAGGCCCTGAAGAGGGCACTTGATGGGATGAGCCCTGGGGGTTATACTATATGTTGGCAAATTGAACTTAAATAAAAGAAAAAAATTAAAAATAAATAAAAATTAAAAAGCAGGTGTGTTCCTTGCAGGATGCTCAAGAACTTCCAAAGATGTCCACACACCCTGCCAGCTATTTTAGTACTTGTGTCATTAGGGAGATTTCAAGACAAGAATTTTTTTTCAAATTTTTGGTCAAAAATTCTGCTGAACCCCATGGTCTAAACATGTTCAGTTCATCAGAGCTGTATGGTAGCAAAGATATCTTCAAAAATGCTTAATTAATAATCACTATATCCCATTATTGCAATTTCTGCTCCTAAATAATTTTAAGTATAATTTAGTAATATCTAATGAAATATAAATAATTATAGTTAGAAAAAGTCAAAATAATCCCCAAATACAGACCCAACTGTAATAAACATACACCTTTATTTTCTTCCCAGAACATCCTTTCCTCTTTTATTCTGAAAATAGCCTGCCTCTCTTGTGGGAAATGCCATCTTACCCTGAAGGCTGAAAGTCCCCGAGCCACAGGTTAGGGGTGTATACCTGTCTGAAGCTGGGCCAATCATGGCACCCCAGGCCACTGATCAAACTTTATCTATATTTGTATAGATAAGGGCATGTGACCAAAACTGAATAAATCACAGTCTTTTCCCAAGATCTTTCAAAGTGAAATTAAGGCAAGAGGAGAGATCTCTCTCATTCCTTAAGAGATGATTCCTTAAGATCTCATTCCTTAAGATCAGGCATCTGATCAGGCAGTCATGTGCCCTGCATTGTGAAGAAAGCTGGTCGGGGAAAAAAAGCAGCAGAAGTCAGAAACACAGAAGACTGAGCACCCTGCAGCATCCAAATCCCTGGTTCCAGTTGTCCCTGATGATTGCCACACTTTAGTCTTTCTCCTAGGTACATAATAAGCCTTCCAATAAACTCTCCTGTATATCTAACACAATTCAAGCTGTTTTCCTGTAATCAGTAGCCAAGGAAGTTCTACATAATATACCAAACAAACTACAAGGTAACAAATTTGACTTCTTGGGAGTAGGGTCAGGAACACTGTAAGAAATGTACCTGCAGCAAAATTAGTATGAGTTAATAGAATAACACTATTTAACACTTTATTCACTGCCTTCCTAACTGGGGATAAGCTTTGTCTTTTCCTAAGCCAATCAACTTCTTGTATTTTTTAGTGAATTACCTGTTAGCAACAAGCCATGAACACAGATGTTCAGTGGCTATATACTGGGCTAAAACATGAAGATTAGGATACTATGATTGCCATATGATTCTCTGGACTATCATTAGATCCAAAGTAAGAAGGCTTTGTGTTCTGGAAAAATCTACCTCAGGACAGTAATGGTTGTAAACCAAACAGCACTCACTACCAGAACTCAGGAAGAAATCGGATTTTCCATACAATAATTACATTTAAAAAAGCAAACTCATTCTAACTCCTCAAAGCTGATACCTATGCCCTTAACTAGTTCTGACTAAAACAAAAAGAAAAAACAAAATGGTTTTTCTTTATAAAACTTCAAGCTCTTACCAGCTTACATATTCATTGTACTTGTTTTATACAGTTATTTAGCACAATGTGAACTTTATACATGCTCATAATGGAAGAAAACAAGTCATATCACAAGATGCAAATTCTTCTGAATTACATAAACTTACTTACACGGCTAGGTTCAAGACACGAAGTTTAGAACAACAAAGTCTTCCCTAAGTTATTCCAGAAGACTATTTGCACATTAAATTTTAGAAATCTCTACTGCAAACTTCTTCCAGTGTAAACTAGCATTTAATCTTTTCAATCTGCAACATGCTTAAAAATAATATGTCCAGAACATATTATTCTAGACTTTTTTAGACCAGTGCTCTAGACTTTTTTACCTACTAAAATGTCTATGTATACACATATATACATACACACATATATAAACATGCATAGATATGTGTATTCATGTGCATATACACACACATATATATAGTTTGTATATATTTTCTATGTGTATATATATATTTTGGGTATATGTGTACATATATATATACTCATATATTTATATGGACATAGAGATAGATATAGCAATCATATATATATATACATACACACATATATATACACACACACACACATACACCCACACACACATATACACATACACAGTGACTGAATTTGATCCAAACCCATCCTGCAACTATACTAATTTGGTCTTAAAAGGATATTTAAGTGTGGATTCAAATATAGATAATCAAAATATCCTAAAATCCCAGGCCATATCCGCAGAAAATGGTGTCATTTAGTACAATTTCTTTAGAATCTCTACTTAGAATTCCTAAAATAAATAAAAACTAAAAAAAAATAAATAGATATAAAGAACTATTTGATAATTATGTTTATTCAACTCTATCTGTTTATAATATGACCACATTAAAAGACCTTTTAAAAAATTTAGAAAAGTTAAATTTCAGGCCAAGGCCTTTTTAAAACTTTTCAGGTCCCAGCATAGAAATAATATACAGAAATCTCATTGCTGGTACATGAGAAACCGTAAAGCATGTGCTACAAATAATGAAGCCAGATTCATTTTTACCTGCATTGATGCTCCCTCCACTCTTGCAACACAGGCCACCCGGTCCAGGAAAGTCACTGCCACAGGCACCGCCACAAAAAAACCCTTACAGAAGGCCTTAGCATATCTTCTCACCCAGCCTTGTGACTGTGCCATACCTTAAAACACACAAAAGAAAGTATGAAATTAGCTTCTAAAAAAGGTAAAAAAGAAACAAAAACAGCACAAGAAAAGTAAGAGTTAAGGAAAAACCTCATCTCTTAATATAATTAATTGTATTTAAGTATATAATTATCAAAAATACATAATATAAATATAATTAATGATTAATTATATATAATTAGTATAATCTTAGTTTCACACTTATCCCTATAAGTAGTGGAATAAATTTGACTTAAATCTCAAAGGCAAGTACACTAACTCAGGTTAATTCTCTTCAGCAACTAAAGTCCACTTGCTAACTTCAGTGGAAACTTTCTCTTCACAAAGCACTACGTTAGAAAACAAACAAGCATTCCAAAAGGAAATCCTTTCAGGTTGCTGACTATTATGGCGGAGATACTTCTTACACTCCTGAGATCTGTTCTCTTCCATAGTCACAGAAGTTTTTGTGGGACATATGGCTTCCTGGCCTCCCTTGCAGGTAAGTGTGACCAGGTGACTAAGTCTGATGAAAAGGCCTAAAAGCAAAAATGATAAACTTCTCCATTGTGCCCTGAAAAGGAAAATGTCCTCCCCTTTCCTGTTGCCCTTTTTATGATACCATGATAACAAGGTGGTAGTAGGAGCAGAAATAGCCATCTCAAGTTAAAGATGGCAAAGCAACAAGATAGAAGGGTCCCAGGTGCCCAGCACCATGGAGGCACTATAATTGTGCTGCACTGCTTACCCTTGAACTATTAAATAAGATATCTACCACCTTCCATCATGTTTAAACCACTCCTGTAAGAGTCTGTATTACAGTAACCAACCTAACCCTAACTAATACAACAATGAAATCTATGATACATCAAGAAAAAAAAATCACTGCACGTGAATTCAATACAGATAACTATGAATACTCACTCACTCTGTAACCACTTGAAAAATTTTCAGATTTTCTAGGCATTAGAAATCCCTTCATTGTCTCATGTAATTAAAAATAAAATAGTGAGAGATCAAGATATGCTACCCTACCAGACCAAATAGAGGCAAACACGGTCCAACAGATCAAGAATCTTGACGGTTGGGAAAGATAAATGATCATTTTGTTCATAGTCTTACTTAGACAAGCTCCAAGGGCTACCCAATACTGAAGGAGGTGGTGAATGGGACAGTGAGATGAGAGGTCTCTTGACCTCTCCTTTGCAGTGTGCAACTAGATCAGAGTAACTGAAAAATTCCCTTAAACAATCACAAGGCTTGTTTAGCCCTAAACCTACAGGTCAGTTTGCTTCCAAGAGATGACCTAAGGTTCAAAAGGGTCCAGAATGCAATTCACACCAAGCATATACCAGAAAGGCATACACCAGAACAGTATTTAGACTTTTCATTTTTAAGTTCCCAAAAGTCATACTTCCAATGAGAGCAGTGTTATGATAATATTAATATTAAAGACATAAAAATAAGCTAAAGATAGTATAAGAAGGAAAAGAAAAAGATTAAATATATTCATGAGCAATATAGGGAGAGGGAGGCAGAAAATAAGTAAATATAAATATATAAGTATAATTATTTACTTATTTACATAAGTAAATACCAAAAAAAAAAAAAACCAGAAATGTTTCAGTTAAATTCAGTCCAAGTACTCAGTTCTGAAGATTTACCCACTGACCTATATAATTTAAACTTGAAATGAGAGACAAGAGGAACATATAAAGAGGGGATCACTTCCAAATAGCTTCATCCAAAAGACTTCACTTCTCACTTTATTTTAAAGGAATTTTTCCTTTGGAGACACATACAAAAGAGGGTCATATGGTAATGAAGAATGCATAACCTTCTCATCCTGACAGAGCAAAAGAATTCTCCAGAGTTATCGGTATAGGACAATGGCTTTCAAACTGCTTTGCCCAGGTTTCCCACATTAAGAAATACATTCTATAGAGCAACCAAGTACTCAAGTACTCACTCATACACACATACACACACACACACACACACACACACACAAAGACTTACACATGTACCCTCAAAATACAGCAAATAGAACTGAAGTTTCACAAAACAGCACTTATCCTTATTACATAATAGCCTATCATTTTAGTCTGTTCTATTTCACCAGTTGGGACAAGATGGACGTGGGGAGACCAGATTATTCTAGTGGTCCTGAGCAAGAGATGATGGTAGGTTGGACTATGGTGGTGGGGACAGAGATAGAATAAAATGAGCAGACTGGGGTGCCTGGCTGGTGCAGTCAGTGGAGCAGGCGACTCTTGATCTCAGGGTTGTGAGTCCTAACTCCATGCTGGGCATGGAGCTTACTTAAAAAAAAAAAAAATGAGCAGACTTATGATACATACTTTGGAGGTTAAAATGACAGGATTAGACACAGGTGGGCAATGGCAGGGGAGGGGAGAGAGTTAAGAGAAGAAAGCGTCAAGAAGCAGTAGTGACCTATGAAAACACTGTGATGAAAGAGAAGAGAATAGGACAAATGTAAATAGAAAAGCATGCTCCTATATATCTGTGGCTCTTAGAATTAAAAAAAAGCAAACATGACAGAATGAAAATGTTATCTTTGCTGATTCCTTGTGTCCTGCATGCATGGACCTTCACTAAATGACTAGAGATATGTGCAGAATAGAAACTAGGAAAGCTTTTTAGAATATGATGATGCCGTAGCAACCTTGGTTATAAGGTAACATGCATGCTTACAACAAAAATTAAGGGGAAAAGAGAACATAAGTTGTATTAGAATTAAAGTCCCAGAATTTTGAGCCTCCCCTTCTTTCTCGATATCCACTCCATATACTGCCACTCCATTTGGTCACTGTGGCACCCAGGAAGGATCCAGGGCCCTGGGGTGGCCTATAACTAGCTGCGTGTCTCACCAACTTACTTTCAGGCCTCAGTATTCTTGTCTGTAAAAAGAAAGAGGCTAGATTCAATTTCTAAGGTCCTTTCTATGCCCAACATTCTTACTTCTATAAATTTTTCAATTGTTTCTCCAGGACTTCAGCAAGTACTAAAATTTTAAAAAGTCACTCAGGTTATTATTAATAAGAGACAGGAAGCTGCCTTTTAGATTTGCTGATTCCTTGTGTCCTGCATGCATGGACCTTCACTAAATGACTAGGGATATGCGCAGAATAGAAACTAGGAAAGCTTTTTAGAATATGATGATGCCGTAGCAACCTCAGTTATAAGGTAACATGCATGCTTACCTTTGAGAGTCTAAGTGTTAAAAAAAGAAAATACTTTGCTGTTATTAAACAGGTAGTTAAAAAAAAAAACAGAAGCTAGAACAAGTGCAAATCATGTCAAAGATTTAATTATAGTGAAAGCCACTGCTCATTCACTTCTTGTCTTTACAACTTCACTGCTGACCATCTCCTACACAACAAAATCAAGACAGGTATTTTTCCACCGAGAGACTCTCAAAGAGTATGTGGGAGGATGCCAATCTGAAGCTGCACAGATTCTGCCCAAACCAAGGGAAAAAATAAAGCTACCTTGCAAACATGTTGTCACTATTTTCAGAGGCTCAAAAGAAAAGATTCAGTATAGTCCTGTCCTACCTGAACTGTGAAGGACACCTATACAACATAAAAGTCAGACACTTTTAAAAGCTTCTACCACTAAAATGCTAAAGAAATCACACATAAATGAAACAAACATTACATTTCCATGTCAGGTCATACAAATAAATTGTTTAAGTTCTATGGTATTCACATTTTATTAAAGTTTATGTATTTCTTTTTCTATAGAAATTGCCAAAGAATCATCAGAATGATCTGGTCTTTTGTTCACACCTTCAATGTTTAAAACCTCCATACTAATAAGTACCTAGCATCTGTTTCCTCTGAGAAAATTTCCTTTAAGCAATGACAATATGCTACTAACACCATCCCCAGCAAAAAGGGAATAATTTTTATCAGTAACCTCATTCTTCTAATAACCATGCAAGTCATTTAGGTTCAAAACATCACTCCTGAGAAAATTGATGCGTAAGTAGTAGGCACACCTGGTTCATTGCTGAACTGAGAATATTTTTAAATAAGCTTTCAGATTCAGTTGAAATCGTATTTGCCACTTGCTATATAGCACCTGCAAGGGAAAGTTTCTTGGTGATGCTGACCTCAACCACATAATGACCTACATCATAAATGCCTCTTCCCTCCTATGACTTGCAATGGCTTGATCATGCATGAATTCATCTAAAATGATTCTTAAACTTGCTATATTTTAGCCTCTACAAAGTCACCAGTCACTCATCCATAGCAACCAGGTGGATAAATACACCTCAAGTCATCCTAATTACAAACACTATTTAAAAATTGTGTGGGAGTCTTGAAGGAAAATAATAAATTACAAGGCAGTATCTTATATAAAATGTAATCTTTCAATCATAATAATGAGCCAGTACATTTAGGTAACCAAATCAAAATTTTATTTCTAAACTCAAATCATATATATTAAACTATGAACATCAGAGAATATAAGAGCAGAGATTCAAGCAAACTGAACACCTAATTTTCAGCTAACTCAATATGTATTTATTGCTTACCTGCTATGTTTCTAGGAATTGTGCTAAGGGATGAGTACACAATGCAGAAAAAGGTAGGTGTATGGTCCTTGGTCACACAGAGCTTATATTTTCATCCTTGCTACACTGTCTACTTTGCTAGATACTGTGCTAGGACAGCAAAGGTAAAAAGACAAAGTTAAGTTCCCTCCAAGGGAGGCTTGTTACAAGTTCATAAGAAATGAGTAGATGACCATGCATGATCAGACTACCCTTCTCCATGGAGCTCTCCAGGAGCCCGTTACCAATAACCTTTGGATACAATTGGACTAACTAATGCAAGAGAAAAATAATAACTGATGAACTATTACAATTTTTTTAAATATTTTATTTATCTGTGAGAGAGAGGAGAGTGAGAACGAGCAGGGGGGAGGGGCAGAGGGAGAGGGAAGAAGCAGACTCTACTGATCAGGGAGGCCCAGGTGGGGCTCC